ACTCTGTTTTTGTGAGTAGTATAGGTGTTTAGGGTAATGATGTCATGCTGCCCTCTTTCATATAAGGATATCTGTTATCTGATCCTCCTTGAAAGTCTTGGGCCTTTTTTTTTTAAATTAAAGTATCATTGATGTACAATCTTATGAAGGTTTCATATGAACAACATTATGGTTTCAGCATTCACCCATATTATCAAATCCTCATCCCCCCACTGCAGTTGCTGTCAGCGTAGTAAGATGCTATAGAGTCATTACTTTTCTTCTCTGTGCTGTACTGCCTTCCCCGTGACCCACCTATATTGTGATCACAAATTATAGTGCAGTCTTGGGCTTTTTTTCCCTAGTGATCTGATACATTGTAAAAGAATATTTAACATGTGATCTGTTTCCTCCCTTAGCCAAAGAATCCTATCAACTTTAGGGGCTTTTAAAATATAATCCTAGGCTTCGTCTTTTATCTGTTCATTAATTGATAGTTGTATTGTGCTCCCTCTTACGACCAGATTTCACCTAAAATTGCAATTATGTTACTCTCTTTTATGATTTTATGGTGGGCAACTGTCCATCCTTTAAATTCTAAACATTTTATGATTTTGTCTGTTCAAGTTATTGTACATTTTCTATGTTCCTCTAATTATGATATTAAGTGTGTAATAATGTGTAAGGGAGTTTAACATTCTCAAATTCCTGCTAGTACTAGGCAGTTTATATACATCCCTGGAATAGTTTCTGAAACATCTGTTGTTTTCTTTGCCAAGTAAATGCATGTTGGACTTAGTGATCTAGTGATATGAAGGTATTGGTATTACAAAACAAAACAAAAACAGATTACTAGGATCTATGATAGACGTGTATTTTCTTGGATACAAAGAGATCTTCCCTGGGATTTCTAATGTGTTAGATAAGGGCTCACTGTACTTTCTGTACATTTTGTTTTATTTTGCACATTACATTTTACTTTTGTTTCAGTTATCAAACTTGAGTTTCCTTCTGGCCACACTAATGACTTGTAGGGGCTAAGGCCTACCTAATGATGCCTTCTTTTTCTAATTCCGTAAAAATGTCTATGGTCTCATTATTTCATCCTTGAGTTTTGTACTGTGAAGTTTTAACAACCTTTGCCAATAAATGGTAATAGAAGGGAAAGAACTGTCTCCTCACATGACTTATGTAAGTCCGGGGAGAGGAAATCCCAGAGCAAAATACCTCTGAAACCGAAATCAGTCAAAGGGAGAAATAAAGCTTAAAATCTGTTTATTGCTTACAAACTGCAGTCTGAGGCCTTTTCTCTTTCCTGCTCCAGAAGCAAAAACGGGCTCTCCCCCTCACCCACCTCTCGAGTACAGATAAGCCCTCTTTGCCCAGCTAATTATCCATTAATATGGAGATTAACTTCTCTCCACCCCTAAGGAATGATGCAAATGAACTAAAGCCTTACTTCTTTCCACCTCTGAATGCCTATTGATATGCAGATATACTAAAGCCAGGCGAGATATTCCAGAAATGTTACAATTTTGTCCACAGCCACCCCTCCAAAATCTTGCCTTACATTTTACTCATTCCCCATCTTCCGACCTAATAACATACAATAGCAACAGCAATAAAATCTTGATAATCCTCAAGCCAGAGGGTTCAGCCTGTGCAGATTAAGTAAATGTACTTTACAGCACAATCTCTCACTAAGCACAAAATGTTTCTACACTTGTTTACTCATTCCTAACAACCACGCTAGATTGCTCACAAAACTTTTACCAGACATTAGACAAAGTCAAGCTCTCTTTAAGCACTTTTTTATTGACAACAGCAACACAATCATGATAATTCTCAAGCCAGAGGTTCAGCTAGGTTCAAAATCCCATGCAGATTAGTCCAAAGCTGGTCCATTCCAGCCATCACGTGGCAGCTGCAGCCAGGAGGCACATCCAGGACACAAGGACTGTAGAAGCAAATAACTATGATTTCGGGGGACCACTTTGCTGTTATTCCAGGAATACACAGGCCAGCTTCCAGGCCTTTTCCCCAAGGTGCCAGAAGAGCCAGCCATCACCGGTCCATGCATCGAAATGGCCAGGACCACATCCATTTTATTCCTAATTGCTGCATCCCTGCAACTCCTGGCCAATAAAGTGGGTGCCTTGATCACTCTCAATCACTGGCAACAGGCCATAGGCTGCAAAGAGACACTCTAGGCCCCTCTTGGTGGTTTGCTGATCTGCGTAATGTGTAGGGCACTCCTTCCAGGCTCAGCTATCTTCTTCAAAGGTCAAAGGCAAGCCCCACTGATGGGCTACAGCCCACATTGTCTTTTGCCCCTCATGCAACAAACACTGATGTAGCCATTGGGCCACATCAGAGGCAGGCTTTCCTTCTAGCCAGCGCACCTGGGCCAATGTGTCTGCTTCATCATTCCCTGGGGATGCCCAAATGGCCAGTCACATGATATAGTAGGTATCTGTGCCACACCACTGTATGACCTTTGGGTCCAGTCTCACCCATCCCGCGATGAGATAGGTGGTTATTACCTTGGTCGGAGCTGTTCTGGTGATGGGTTTCATAGCCAGCAAGGCATGGTACACAGCAGCCAGTTGCTTCTCTGTCAAGGTGACCCAGACCTCTGCTCATTTCCACAGTTGTGACCAGGCTCCAGCCGGCAGCAGGAGCAGCAGCAACACAGCCTTAGGCTTGGGCTACAGGCCAGGGTCTGTATGGCCAGCAGCGCTGGTGGTGCCTCCACGACCGCACGAGTGTAGACACATGTCCCTCAGCATGAGTGCCACTTCTCCCCATCATTTCTAGGGGCAGCCCTCCCAAAGGTCGCACCCGTTATGACAGATTTCAGATTCAGAGGAATCCTGTCGACTACCACCAGATGTAAGTCCAGGAAGAGGAAATCCTGGAGCAAAATACCTCTAAAACTGAAATCAGTCAAAGGGAGAAACAAAGTCTAAAATCCATTTATTGCTTACAAACTGCAGTCCGGCGCTTTCTCTCTTTCCTGCTCCAGCAGAAGCAAAAACCGGCCCTCCCCTCACCTCCTGGGTACAGATAAGCCCTCCTTGCCCAGGTAATTACCCATTGATATGGAAATGAATTTCTCTCCATCCCTGAGGAATGATGCAAATGCACAAAGGCCATACTTCTTTCCACCTCTGAATGCCTATTGATATGCAGATATACTAAAGCCAGGTGAGATATTCTGGAAATATTACAATTTTACCCACACTTGATATTGAGAAACCTTGCCCAACATTGTTGTCATGGATTTGGAAGTTGGAAAGACCCTGAGTTCATATTCTGACTCTGCCCCTTTAGACTGTGGATTGAGTCTTAGAAATGCTTGGCCTGTGTGAGACTTGAGCCTTCTGTGACCAGAAGGGGGAACTGTCTCTGGTTACTGGCTGAAAGCTGCAAGGTAGGCTTGGCCAAGCCTTCCCGGCACTGTGTGAGCTGCTGCTTTTGCCTGAACGCTGCCGACCCTCTCCTGCCAGGCTAGGTCCTGTTCCGACTTCAGATTTCAGCTCAGATAATTCCTCCTTTGGGAAACCAGACTACTTCCCCACTTGCTAGTTGTATAACATTTCCATACAGTACTTGACTTCTCTGTGCCTCAACTTTTTCATGTGTAAAATGGGGGTGATCCTAGTATGCCACTTTGTGGCACTATTGTGAAGACTAAGGGACCCACTACATGAAAACAATCTGTGGTAAATAGAAAGCACTCGATACATTAACTATGATTAACTTATCATTAATGATAATTTCTGTTAGTAATAATGATCATTTACTCATTTTATTAGTAGTTGTGATTTCATTACTCTTTGGCTTCTCTGTCCAGACAAGGCTGCCTTCCGCCATCTCTGTTCCCACAACCCTGGCTCTCATAATGCTGCACTGCATTTTTGTCTGGCTTCTCTGCTAGATCTGAGCTGCTTAAGGGTAGAGGTGTGTCCTTGGCCAATATATCCCAGCCCCTCCTGCAGGGTCAGGCACCTTAGGACTCAAGATCAAAGTAGGATGACAGAATAAGAAGAGAATGGGGTCTGGTGCCCCAGGGAATGAGCAGTCCTGCCTCTGCCTCCCATTTCCTGGGCTACTTTGAACAAGTTCCCTTAATCTCTCCAGATTTGGGACTTCCGTTTCCTCATACATAAGAGGAGATGACTATACTTGCCCTCAGGGCTTTTTGGCAGTGAAGTTGTTCAAAGCAGCTGGCTTGGATTTGGCATCAATGAACAGTTATTTACTGGCAGTTTACCAAACTAAGTTGCATGAGAATGTGACAGATGAGATGTGACATCCTCCACGTGGAATCACCAGCCCATATCCAGGACTCAAAGAGAGTCTGAAGGGAAAGACCCTGAAAGAAAATTCAGTCTTGTTGACCCATTGCATAGCATAATAAGGGCATATCAGCTGGGCATGTATCCAGGAGACCAAGGACTCAGTCCCGAGATGCTGAGCAATTAGCTTCTTCATGGAGCTGCCACCATATCAGGCCTCCAAGCTGTGGGGCGTCTGCAGCCTCCTAGAGGCCATTTCTAGGACACACAGCAGGGCTCTTCCTCCTCCCATTGGCCTCGACTGCCCCCTAAAGGACATTTTCTTCTCCAGACCCTCAGAACCAGCTGAATTCCCTAGGAAAAGGGCCAGGGCACTATCCACGCCTCTCTGTCCTCTCCTCTTCTCTATGCGCACTCCCATGGCAGCCTTGCTGCGTCTTGTGGCTTTGCATACCATCTGTGTGCTACTTCCAAAAGGACATCCCCAGTCCACACTTCCCCCTGACTCTAAGCTTGGAGAGCCAACTGCCTCTTGTCATCTCCACTGGAAAGTCTAAAAGCATCTCAATCTTAATGTGTCCAAAACTGAGCTCCTCATCCTCCCCAAGGCCTGCTCCTCCTGCAGCTCTCTCCATTCCAGTTATGGCAATTCCATCCTTCCAGAAGCTCAGGTCACACATTTATTCTCATTTCCTGGTTGTGTGCTCTGTGCCAGGCACTGCGCTGTGACCTAGGGGTTCATAGATCAACAAGACACTCATAGGATGCAATTAAGCATGGGCCAATAGACAATATAGACAACAAGATATAAATAAGTGAAATAATTCCAGTGAGTGCTGAGATAATAAATTTGGGGAGATGTGATTGAATAACAAGGAGGGAGAGCACTAATTCGGAGTGAGAGATTGTCAAGGAAGTGGAGTCTGAGCAGGTGACATGTGAGCCGAAACCTGAATGACCTGAGGAAGCCAGTTATGGAAACCATGGGAGAAGGGCACTCCAGGTGGAGGGAACTGCAAGTGCAAGTGCAAAGGCCCAGAGGCAGGAATGCTTTGCAATGGAGTGGATTCCAACTCCAGTGCTCCTTCACCGTTGCTGCCTCCCTAGGTCCTCAGAGAGACCACTTGGTGTCCTGGGCCTGTCTTAAACTCAGTGCTAAGGTGCCAACTTATCCAGGAAGGCAGCAGCTCTCTGAGGTGGTGGGTCCCCCTCCCAGAAGCCCTGTGGCCAAACCGGATCTGAGTTTCCTGATTCCTGTTTGGCAGTGGGAAGGGGACATCCTCCCCTCCTTCCCTCCCCAGGCTCTAGCCCCAGCCCCAGCCCCAATCTCCATGGCAACCTTAAACACAATCCTGATCTGAAGGAGGATCTGGAACTGGGAGCACAAAGATCACTGTGAAGAGATGGGAGGAGCCGGCGGACATGCCAGTCTCCCCTGAGACCCCAAACGGAAGATCCTGCAGGTCTGTCCCACTGCTGGGCATAGCAGGGCCTGGATGGAGGCCTGTCTTCTGCAGCTACCCTAAAGGCTGCTCCTGCTGGGGGCGGCCGCCCTGTCTGCATTTGCTCTGGAGACAGGTGAGCTTGAGGGGGCTTAGCTGGGGTGGGCAGGAGGTTCAGGTCCCACCACCCTCATGAACTGCGTTTCCCCACTCGGCACTCACCCTGATGGACTTGGACCCCTTGAGTTGGGGGAGGCTGGTCTTACCTGGCACCCCCAGGTCTACCTCAAACCCCTCTGTAAGGCTGGAGCTCCAGGTCACCCAGAAGCAGAGGTCTGGGGTTGGTGGCACAGCCTTCCTCTCTGGCAATGGAGAACACTGTGGGCTTTGGAGCCAACCCTGTGTCCGCACACCCATTCTGCTGTTCCTGTGTCTCTACCCTTGAGATCACTATTTCAACTCTCTAAGTCTCAGTTTCTTTAGCAGTAAAATGGGAATAATCATCAGCCTTTGCCCCTTAAAGGACTATTATCACTGTGCCTATAAGATGAGCTAAACCATGGAAGACACTTAGTGCCTGGCACCTAGAAGGTGCTCAGTTCACTCATTCTCTAAATCTCACCCCTTACCCCGCGTGTCTCCAGGGCACAGTCTGGCTTTAGTAGGTCTGCACAGATATGAGCAAATGCTCTCACATCTGAACCCTGATGGAGAATTTCTTCCCTGAAGACTCACATTGGGGCTGATCCTCAAGCACCCACTGGTGCCCCTACCATGCACCAGGAAAGCTACCTCCTCTTTTCTTTCTATCCTTACAAAAATCAGAGCTAGTTTGAGTATTCACACATTATCTCACTTAATCCTCAGAACAACTCTGTACCAGTGAGATTGTCTGGGCTGTAATAACAGGGCTTAGACCATAAGGACGTTTGTTATTTCACTTAAGAAGTGTGGCCATAGGTGATTCCAGAAATGGTTAATTCAGCAGTTCCACCAGTGCTCCTTCACCACTTGCTGCCTCTCTAGGTCCTCAGAGAGACCCCCTTTGATTGGGCCTCTCATAAACTCAGTCCTAAGGTGCCAATTTACTAGGGTTTATACGTAATTCTCATGACCTCATCTTTGCAAGAAGGCTGCCACAGGTCTGGGCATCACATCCTCAGTTGACACCTTTCAACAGCAGGAAGAAAACAGGGAGGAGAACCTTTCTTGGGAATCCTCAGCAAACTAAACCTCTCCTTAAATATCATTGGCCAGAATCAGGTCACACCCCAATCCCTAACTCCCAACAAATAGAATTAGGATTACAGGCTTGGGTCAGGCCAATGACCAGGGTCTGGCATGTTACTCCCTGATAGTTGAGGGAAATTAGGGTTCTTTTAGCAAGGAGAAACAGGGAATGGCTATTGGGTGGGCAGGCACCCAATTATGTCTACCCCATCCTTGAGTAAGATAACAGCTAACACTTCTGTGATACTCATTAAATACCAGGCATTGTCCAAAGCACTGAATCCATACATGTCCACAATCCTCTAGCTTCAACTCCAAGATATGAAAAGCTCTGAAAACCAAAATTTGTTCTTATTTAATTTACTGGCCACACCTGACCTCAACTGACAGGAGACTTGTTTATTTTATTCATTTGTCCTGCTTAGGGTCAGTGTTCCATACAGTTGCTTTAGAAATGTTCGATCCTGAAGGGCTGCTGCAGCCTCCGTTTGTTGCTGCAACATAATATACTGTACATATATCATTTTATCTTTCTAAAATCTGGAAGATTTTGAAACACATTTTAGTGTTTTTGTATAAGAGATTGAGGACTTAAATTACTTAATCCTCACAAAAATTCTGAGATTACTCAATCATGCCCATTTTATTGATGAGAATGCCGAGGCTCAGAGAAGGTGAGCGACTTACCTGGGGTCACACAGCAGGCAGCGGGTACAGCCAGGCTTGGAACCAGGCTGCAAGGGTCCGTGCTTTTCCTTCCAGCGGACCTGGTGGACCTCTGTGGGCAGACGTGGCAGGGGGACGCGCTGCTGCTGCGCTCGCACTCGGCGTCGCGTAGGTTCTATTTCGTGGACCCGGACACCGACTGCGGGCTCTGGGTGCGGGCGGCGGCCCCCGGGGACAGTTCCGCTTCTTCCTGGTCTACAGCTTGACGCCCGCCTCCCTGGCGCCCCCAGAGCCCAACGCCTCCTTCCCGGCTCCAGCCGATCCTTGCGTCCCCCGGTCCTACCTGCAGTTCTACGAGGGCCCGCTGGGGGCGCCCCGGCCCCTGGGGGCCACTGTCTGTGGCCTGACCATCCCTGCCCCCGTGACATCGTCTGGACCCTTCTTGGGCCTGTGCCTGCTCACGAGAGGCCGCCAGCCCTGCGTGGACTTCGTGGGCGAAGTCACCTCTTCCCGGTTAGGTGGGTTGGAGCTGTTGGCCGGGACTGGGGCTTCCAAGCTGGGGGCACCCACAGGCCTGGAACCTCAATGGGGCACTGCGAGCACTGGAAGACGGAGGGGGCTGAGTCCTAAGGGAGGGTAGGAGGTGCTGACTGGTTTACAGTAAGGGACATTTCAGACCCCAAGAGCCAACCCCATGAAATCACCCCCATAGGTGTGCATACCAGACTGTCCTACCAGCCCCTGATGCTTGCACACTTGCATTCACCCATTCGCACACAATCCCCACTCCTACACTTCCTCACATATGCATACCTCACACTGACACCCACACACTCCCACACTGTACATGTGTACCCACCCTGCATACTCAGAGTGCATACCCCTCACACACCCATGTGCCTCACACACTGCAACATGCAACCCACATACCTCATGTACTGCACACTCACACCATGCATGTCACACACACACACTACCATTTTCCCATGTATACATACGACTGTCATCTGATTGAGGAAAGGTTTGATTCACATCCTCAGGCCATAGTGACAGCCTCAGTCACTCACACCTGCAAGTTCATGCTACCTGGCTCACACACACACTCTTACATTGACACTCACCTATGGCTCCCCACACATTAACATGCTGTTTTTGTTCTCTCTCTCATAGATATATACTCTTACAAGTATATACCTTCTGTATATTAAAGTATTCACTTTCATTTGCAAGTGAAAGAAATCCAACACAAGTTGGCTAAAGCCAAAGGAGAATTTGGAGAGGGTGAGGGGCTCCTATAACGGATTTGAAAGTGTTGATTCAGGTATAGCTGGATCCAGGAGTCCAAGTAATGTCACCTGGGCTCTTTCTCTTTGTTTTCTGTCTTTGCATTGTGTGGGTCTGTTTGGCTTCCATCTCAGGCAACCTTTCTTTCTACTTGGCAGCAAGGTGACCCTGCAGCTCCCAGTTCACAATCACCCTCTTAGCTCTAACTGCAATGAAACAGAAAGTGAGTATCTTTTCTTATGGTTCTAGCACAAGTCCCGGGGCTAAATTTGGGGTCATGCGTCCATTCCTAAGGCCAGGAGATGGAATGCGCTGATTCTTCTGCCCACCTCTGAGCAATGCTGTTGGTCAGTCCCACTTCAACCCAGCTTCTCTCCATAGAATGGAATGCTGGGTAAGCGAACCTGTCTGCCACACCCCGTGCACTGAGTCAGACAATTCTTTGACCTGTGTGCATACTCACTCATTTAACAAACATTAATGGAGCAACTGCAGTGTGCTAGGTAGTGTTCTAGGATCTAGGGATATAGCAATGAACAAAAGAGAAGCTGCCTGCTGTCTCTGAGCTGACATTCTGGTGGGGGAGACAGACCGTGAACAAATAACCAGGCAAATCCATATTCTACAGAAGTCCTAAGGGCTGCAGAGCAACCCAAGCCAGGACAAGGAGGGTGGGCACACTGCGGGAGGCATGTTGCTGTTCTCACCTGGAGGTTAGGGAAGGCTTACTGGGAACACTGGAGTGGAGACCTGAAGGGAGTGAGCCGTCCCCATACTTGGGGAAGAGAGCACCAGGCAGAGCTGATGGTATGTGCAAAGCCACGAGTGGGGATTTGCTTAGAGTGCTCAAGTTCAAGGGAATTTCACAGGCCACAGGCACGCGCACACACACNACACACACACACACACACACACACACACATACTGTGTGCCACAGAGCATGGGACCAGATTCCTATTCTGCTTCTTAGGGACAAGTTGTGAGGCCTTGGTCAGGTGACCTAATTTCCCTGTGCCTTGCTCTTCTTATCTCTAAAATAGGATTAATAACAGTATTTATCCCATAGGGTTATTCTGAGATCTGAATGAGCTGGGATGTGCATGAAGTGTTTAAACCATGACTGGCACAAAATAGGAACTCAGTAAATGTTAGCCATCACCATCATTATCTTTATGATCATACACCTGTCTCAGGAATGCTCATCCCTACGTCATCTGCATGCACATGGGAACAGCCCTCTCCTGCTCACACCTCCCACATTCCCTCACTACAGGGCCACACTTCCTGGCCCAGCACACTCATCTCATGCCTCCCCTCTTGGCTCCAGGATCCTGTGGTGGCTACTTCCTCTGTCGGAATGGCAGGTGCATCCCCCCAAGCTTGGTGTGTGATCGCTGGGGCATGGACAACTGTGACGATGGTAGTGACCAGGCTTCCTGGCCACCCGCTGACTGCAGAGGTTGGTGACAGGTGTGTCCTGGGCCCTGTTGAGCAGCTGGGAGGGAAGCCAGGCCTAACTCCCCTCCCTGGGGCAGGGTATCAGTGGGGAGGCCAGAGGCAGGGGCTTGGCAGGAGAGAAGGTGAAGCACAGCAGTGGGGAAGCCATTAGATCAGACCACCTGAGCATCGGAATAAGGTGGGTCCAGAATGATTCTAGAGCGATCTAACCCAATGCTTCCAAGTGACACTTTAGTGGTGGAAGTTTTTCCTAAACGGAATCTTGCATAGGGCCCAAGACATCAAAAGGAGATGTTCTATTAACCTAATGTGGAGGGCCCTGGGCCCTAGTCAACTGATGTCCCACTGAGCAACTTGACTTTGACCCTTAAGACTTACTTTGAAAACCATTGATCCAGTCTGACTCCCACATTTTATGTATGGGGAAACTGAGACCTAGGGAAGAGAAATGACTTGCCTGAGGTCATAGTCAGGGAGTGATATGATATAACCAGGAATAACTTCTGTAGAGGGGGATCAATCAGAATAGGTCACCCAGGAACACCCTTCCTGGGAATCTGGAGATGCCTCTCCCCCAAACAGGGCTGGCTGTGTGCTGTTGAGCAGGTTGTCTACTGTTAAAAAAGCACCTGCCTCAAGGGTAAAATCCAGCTTCCCAGGAACCCACACATTTACCTCCCAAGCCACTCCTCAGTATCCCTTGCAGGTTGCTCTTACCTCCTGACACTGTGCTTTGTGCCCTGAGGCCCAGTCCTCTCCTCCCCTCCACCCTCCTCCACGCCCGTTCCCTTGGTGGTCTCCTTTATGTTGTGTTGCCAGCTGGACTTGTCTTTAAGCTCTAGTTGTTATATAATTACCTCTTTACTGGACATCTCTACTTACCCAAACCTGACCTCCTGCTCCACGGCCCTCCCCCTCCCCTGCTCCTCACCAAAACTGTGGAGTCACTCTTCACTTCTTTTTCCCCCTCTCAGCCCATAACCAAGCCATTAACGCTGTCAGAATTTGTCTGGTGTTTTTCCCAAGGTAAGACTGGAGTTCTGTCTGGGCTCTGAGGAGGGGCACAGAGGCACAGTGCCATTTCCATCACAGCGTATCAAAGGTGTGCACTGCCAGCATGATTCCCTACCACTGATGCTGGCCCCGGCCAACTGGCTGAGGTCGTGTTTGCACATTCTCCTCTTTCTGCACTGTCCTCTCTGGAAGGAAGTCACTAGGTGTAGCCCACATGTAAGGAGTGGGGAATTGAGCTCCCCTGACAGAGGAGCCTTTGAAAACACTAAATCAGATCAAATTACTCCCAATCCTGGAACCCTCCACACGCCTCATCTCACTCAGCAAAAGCAAAGCCTTCCAGGGTCCCACAGGCCCTGATGAACTGGCCTGTCACCCCCTGGTGCTGTCACGTCCCTGACCCTGGCCCTCCCACTTGCCCTGTCAGCTTCTCCTCTCTTGTCCTACCTTCTGGCTGTTTGCTCTGCAGGCTTTTTCAGATCCACATGCTCATCCCTTTGCCTCTTGTGGGTCTCTGCCTCTCACTCTCCTCATGAGTTCTTTCCTGACCCTCATTTAAACATAGCAATGGATGAACAGATATACAACCTGTGGTATGTCCACCAATGGAATATTATTCAGCCCTAAAAAGGAAGGCACTTTGGACACATGTTCCCACACGAATGAATCTTGAGGACATTATGTTAAGTGAAATAAGCCACCACAAAAGGGTCAGTATGGTGGTTCCACGTACCTGAGGCACCTAGTCAGAACTACAGAAGGCAGAACGGTGGTTGCCAGGGGCTGGGGCTGCGGAGGAGGAGTTAGTGTTGTATGGGTATGGGGTTTCAGGTTTGCAAGAAGGAAAAGTTCTGGAGGTAGATGGTGTTGATGGTTGCACAATAATATGATGTCTTATACTTAATGTCACTGAACTGTTCACTTTAAAATGGCTAAAACAGTTTATTTTGGCATATTTCACCACAGTTAAAACAAAAACTAGCAACCCTGCCCCTAGCCAACCTGCTGTCCCTTTTCTCTGCTGAATTTTTCTCAGCAGCACCTCTCTCCATTTGACATAATGTTTTGTTTCCTCACATTAAGTTGCTCATTCCATGAAGATATTTTTGTCTGCTGTGCTCACTGCTGTATCCCCCAGCCCCTAGAGCAATGCCTGGGGTATAGGAGATGCTTGAGAAATCCTAGTCCAATGAGTACAAGGATGAACTTCTGTATGCCTGTTTCCTTAACTGCAAAACGGGGATGATAACCTCCCCTTTCAGAGTTGTCATAAACTTCAAGTGAAATACTGTAGTTAAAGGGCTCAGCACTGAGCTTAGTGCTCGGTCCACAGAAAACGCTCAGTACATGTACATCCTCCTTCCTGCAAAGAAGCTCCATTCATAAACCCCAGGCCCGGGAGCTAGATTGCGTGAGTTCAAGTCCTCCCATATCATTGCCAGCTGTGTGACCTGGGCAAGTGACTTAATCTGTCTGTGCCTTACTTCCCTTATTTGTAAAATGGAAGTATCAATACTAACAAGCTCAGAGAGGTTTGGGGAGGATTAAATGAGACAGTCATGCCGTAGAAAGTTATCAGTGTGTCAACTCTATTATTTTCTACTGCAGATCCTTCTCTGGTGCCCAGCCAGGCAGGGAGCACAGATGGCACCTTCAAGCCCCTGACTGTGTCCCTAGCTCTTGATTCTGCAGGCCCCCTCCAGACGGCAGCTGAGAGAGGCCCCTAGCAGGCCAGGACCCTGCACAAAAGGATGCGGCTCCGGAAGGCAGATGAATCCTGGTTATCAACTGCTCCCGCCACTCCCACCAGGATCCCACTTATCCTTCTCCAGACGGTGGAGAAGAGGCAGCAGGCTCAGGCTGAGGCCTGACTGGACACCCTCTTTCCTTCCACAGGTGTCTGGCTGCAGGGCTGGCAGTGCCTTCCTCACTGCTCCTGGCCGCGGCCGGCCTCTTCCGGGGCCTTCTCCGGGGCTACTCCTGGTGCAGGCAGGGAGACCCTCCAGTCGGGCGGCCTAGCAGGCTGCTGCCCATGGCCTCTGGCTCAGCTGCTCCATCTGTCACTCAAGCCCTGGCCAGGCGGCCCCTGCAGGGATGCAGTCAAGTGCGCCGGCCTTTCAGGAGCAGAGAGGACATCCCTAGAGAGGCTGAGGCTTCAGAGGAAGGAGAGTGGGCTGCGGGATCAGACAGATCAGGGTTCCACCCCCACCCCCGGGGGACTGTCTGACTTGGCAGGTCACGGAATTCTCTGAGACTCAGTCAGCTCCTCTGGAAAATGGGATGATTCCTGCCCAACATGGTTGTTCTGAAGGCCACAGGAGGTACCAGGCCCTGCTGACTGCACAGTGGCCAGCACTCTGCTGGGTCAGTGGAGGGCAGGACCTCCATGCCCATGGCGGGGAGCGGGCACCTCACCCACCTGAAGCTGCCTCGCTCCACTCTCAGACCTCATTGGTCCTGCCTGGCCCCAGCTTGACCCTCCCTCAGATTCTACTGAGTCAAGCCTTAGTTGAAGACACAGAAGACAGCCCTAGCGGGAATAGCACCGTTTATTAAAGATCAAGACAAAAACCACAGGAGGGTCCCTTCTAGGACACAGAGGCCAGGCGTCCTGACCCACATCTGGGGGCTGCTGGTGGGGAGGGCCCTCAGTTGGGCCCTCAGGCTCCCACAGATGGGGCAGGGCTGTCATGTCCCCTTCCTGTCCCTCCTAGTCATGAGTCCCAGCTTCCCTGACCCAAGGCACTAACTCTTTCTGCCCATCAGTGCCCTCTTCCCCCCAAGTCCCCTGGGCCTTCACTTCCAGATCAGCGGGGGGTATGGCCTGGTACGGGCAGGGAGACCCTCCCAGTGCTGGGCTTGGCCTGTAGCAGCTCCTGGGAATAGCTGGGGTAGCGTTTCCCTTGCAGCTCCTTACGGCGGGGTCCCTGGGCCAGCTGTTGGGTCGGGGAGATACAGGCCACGAGAGATGGTGGTGGGGATCTGCCAGGGGCAGGAGGCCCGGCTGGAGAGGCGGAGGGCTGGGCCATGGGCCGGTGGGGGTAGGGTGGCCTGCTTGGGGGTGAGCTGCCTTTTGCTGCACCATTGGCACTAGAGAGCTTTCCCAACCCAGAGGAGGTTGCAAAGGCCGCTGGGCTCCCCTACTCCAGGCAGCTTGTGGGGCGCCAGGCTGTAAGCCAAGGCTGGCTCCTGTAGGAATGAGGGCTGCCCAAGGGCGGTGGGCACGGGCAGCCCAGCTCTCCCTTGTGGGGCTTTATTGCTGGGGGCAGTCCTGAGCCCACTCAGCCACCGTGCTGGACACCACGTCCTGGTGGCCCTCTGAGGCACCTGCTCCCATCCAAACTGCTCTGCCCACAGCCTGTGGCTTTGCCCAGGTGTGTTGGTGTGTGGGGGGTGGTGTGCCCACCCTCCAGTCCAGCCCAGGGCAGTAGCAGCAAAGCGTGGCATCGCCTCAGTTTCTTATGAAATATTCATAATAATATTAATAATAATATACTTGACACTGTGGGGCTAGGATGCTGCCCGGGAGTCCGTGTGGGGCAGGCAGCTGCCTACGAGGGGCAGGGGCGCACATTGGCCCCTGCCTGGGCGCGGTGCTGCAGGTCCAGTGGCTGTGCGGGTGGGGTGCCAGGCCGGGCAGAGTGCAGCACCAGATTCTTGATACAGCCCGTGATGCCCGAGGAGAACCTGCCCCCAGTCAGCGTGGCCACCCTGGGGGCTCCGCCTGTGGGGATGGAAGGGGTCAGGGCCTGTCTGCCAGCACTGCAGCCCAGGAGGGGAGGAAGGCCTGTGCTCTGGCTCTGCAGGAGCCCTGTCCCCCACCACGCCCTGCAAGGGTGCCCGAGCCCGGGACTCACCAATGTAGATGCTGCCCTTGGTGTTCACTGCCACGTTCGGGCCTGGGGACTGGCCGCTGACCAGCTCCTCACCGTCCACCTGGATGGAGCCCCTCCGGCCCTCTCTGTGGTGGCATTGGGTCAGGCCCTTCGCCACCAGCTCCCCATCCTCCCCGACCCAGTCAGAGTCCCTTCTCTTGGCCACAGAGACTCCAGACAGAGAAGTCTGCCCTCTGCTCCGAGTTCTTTCCTTTCCCCACTATATGAGATCTGCCCCACAAACGCAGCTTCCCAGCACCCCAACTGGGTTTCACGCATCCCCGAGGGGGCTCACCCACCCCCATGGGATTCGGTTCTGCCTGGATATCTGTGTCATGGCTGGTGGGCTCTCCCGTGACCCTGGCTTCAAGTTCTGTCTCCCCACAGCTCAACGCCTGCCTCCATGCGCACAGGTGGGGGCATCCTGTCTCACTCCAGAACTCTTGACCCTTTGCCCTAGTGCCGGTGCAGGAGGGAGCGTGTGCATATGTGTGTGTGTGTGTGTGTGTGTGTGTGTGTGTGTGTGTGTGTGCGCGCGCGCGTGACATTGCGGGTGCCTTACCGCAGCGCCATCACTCGATGCCACTCGCCATCATTGATGGGGTCCTCAGAGACAAGGCGGGCCTCCCCACTGCCCAGCTGGTAGCTGCAGACACATGGCCCCAGTATGTGAACTGGGGCAGGACTGGACTGGGGTGGGATGGTGGTGTGTGGCTGGGGCACTAGGAGCTGCAGCTTCTTGTCAGAAGAGCCCCTGAAGGGTGAGGGAGCCAGGTGGGAGGAGATGCCAGAACCCACCTGAAGACAAGGTGCCCATCCTGAAGCCCAAGACTGATGAAGTCCTTGCCTCGGCCAGCCGCTCCCACCTCCTGCCAGAGAAGCACAGGGTTACTAAGGCTTGGAAAGCCGAGGTCCCTGACAGCTGTGGCCCCCACCTTCCTCTCTCCCACTGCACTGGCCACCATGAGGCTAGGAACCCCAGGACCCTGATCTGGACGCTCAGACTCACCACGCCCTGCCACAGCAGGAGGCCACTGGCTGTGCTGGTCCGGACCTCCAGCTCAATGGTTTCAGGCACCTCGGGCAGGCTGTTGGGTGCAGGGGAAGTGGGTGAGGGGACAGAAGTCCCAGATTCATGTTCCCTCCCTGGGCTGGCAGCCTCTCCCAACACCCATCTCACCTCCTGGAGAAGACTCGGCCTGGGAGGACTAGGAAGCCGTCATCGTGGAAATAGGCTCCATACTGCCCAGGGGCATCTGTGGGCCAGTGGGGGATGTGAGACAGCCACTCACCTGCATGGGGCACCCACTCCCATGGGCTCCCCTGACTGCCACCTGCACCCTAGCCTGTCCTACTAGGGGGGATCTGAACTTGCAGTCCCTGGAGACCCAAGGGGGCTATGGACAGAACTCTGGGGCCTTGAACTTGGGTGGGAAAACACTGCAGCTCCATTTTCACTGACTTCTCACTGAAATTTAGCAATTCCTTCAAATATACATGCAGATGACAAACCAAAGGTGTGGTAGCAGGATTTGTGACTGTGTCCCTAACAGAAGATTTACAGGATTGGATTTCTTTATTGATTTATGGTAATTGCAAATGTTTCAAAACATCATTTATGCTTACTGAAATTGTGGTAGCTATTAGGAAACCTAGACCTTACTATTTAATGTGTTAAAAAAGCACACATGATACCAATCAGAAAATTTTAAATATTTTGATAGCCTTATTTCAGTATAATTGGTTTCTTTTGAAATCCTAGGTATTTCATTATTGAAAACCTTTCTGTTCTCTTGATCTTACAGATGGGGAGATAGGCTCGGGCCTGGGGTGGTGGGGAACGGGGCAGGGTGGGGCGGGGCGAGTGACTTGTTCTGGAAGCGGGAAGCCTGGACAGCAACCTGGACCTTTCAGCTCCCATGTCCACCCTGTGTGTGGTTCCAACATCCCCATTCTACCTGCTCAGACCCAACCTATGGGCTGGCACTGGTCCCTGTGGGCCTGGCAGCTGCGAGGGTAGGGCACATTTTGCCACCCTACACTAAATGAGGATAATAGCTAACATTTGCCACACAGTGGGCTTCACATCCAGTAACAAACATCATTTTATGTAACAAGATCCTTATAAATAACCTTATGACTTAAATATAATATTAGCTATAGCTAACATTTTATGCTCACTATAGACCAGACATCGTTGTAAACATTTAAAATATATTAAATAATTTTACTCATGAAAAACTTTATCCAAAGCCTTAAAGGAGGATATTACTTTTCTCCATTTTATATAGGAGGAACCTGAGGCACAGAGAGGTTAAGTGACTCACCAAAAGTCACACAACTGTTAAGTTGCAGGGCTAGGATTTGAACCCAGGCAGCACATGTTCTTGCCTACTATATTCCATTACCTCTCCTTTTTATTACTGATATACAAGAAGATACATATCTATAAAGCAGTTAGCACTGTGCCTGTAAATGTTCAATAAACATTAATTTTGAAAATTATTATCATTGTTTTTAAATAGACGGTGGAATCCGTGAGAATGAGGGTTCTGCCTTACTCTTCTTGTATTTACTGCTCCTATGGCAAGGATGGGCACCCAGTGGATGTTTGTTGATGAATGCATGAATATAGGGGAGGAAGCTGAGGTCAGAGGGGATCAAGGGCCTGCCCAAGGTCAGCCTGCCAGCAGGTATAGGACAGGACCCAGCTGTGTGGCTGTGCTCTTCTTCATTCCGTCTCTCTCTGTCCAGTGAGCCTCTCCCATGGGCTTCTTTGGTTTAGAGGCTCCAGCAGAGGGGGCAGGGTAGCTGGAAGAGGAGGCCAAGAGACCTGGGGCAAGAGGAGGCTGTCCTGCTCAGCTTCTCGGATTTGCCACAACAAATACGTACCGTTGCCCCCACTGCCTTCGAGATGCCAGTCGGACTCTGCTGTGCCCCGTCCAGAGCCTGTGGGGAAAGGCAGGTCGAGTTGTGGGCACAGATACCCATGGTATCATGGTCTAGCCCCAGGACCCCAGGGAGGTGGACAGAAGCCAGGGCAGTTACACTACCTTGCTGGCAGCGTGGGCCAGAGAAGCCAGGGGGACAGAGGCAGTGGGTACCCTGGCAGGTGCCCCCATGCAGACAGGGCTCCTGGAGCTGGCAGGGGTTTTCCGCATGCTCGCAGAGGTCTCCTGTGGGCCGGGGCCAGGGAGAGTGGTCGTGGGCTGCAGTTGCCACCAGCTGCCCTGGGCCCTTCCCTCCCCCCTCCCAGGGCCTGGGAAGCCTCACACACCTTTGAAGCCATCCTGACACAGGCACTGGACCTCATACTCGCCAGCAGGCATGCATGTGGCACCGTTCTGGCAGGGCTGGCGCTCACACGGGGAGCTGTCGTAGCATTGCCCAATGTCTCGGCTGCCCAGGAAGCTGTAGGTGAGGTCCAGCCGCTTTCCATTCACTGACACCTGTGGGCACAGGGACACCGAGGAACTCAGGAGTGCAAGAGACGGAGGCAGAGGAGTGCCAGCAGAGAGAAGAATGCAGTAGGGACCCCAGGTTGGAGCTTAAGCAGAAAGTGGGATTCTAGGGTGAGGAGGGGGGAACATAAGTTGAATGCCTGCTGTGTGCCAGGAACATCCATCAGTGCAGTCAGTCCTCAGCACAACCCTTCAAAGTTGGTGTAATTATCCCCATTTTACAGAGGAGGAAAGTGAAGCTCAGAGGTGAAGTGTGTGGTCCCCAGGGCCTTGGGCTAGCTGTGGGGGGAGAGACCCCATTTGTGGCCCTCTCCTCCCCACCCGTCCTCTGGAAGCTGCTCCTCACCTCACCCACGCAGCCGTGGAAGTGGGCGCTAATGTTGGTGGCTGGTGGCAGTGGCACTGCGGGCTCCACACCCCCGAGGTAGAGGAGGGTGTGCAGGTTGAGGCCCTGGCTCTTGCCCGGTGAGGAGCGTAGCACGGGGCGTCTGCCGTTCACCCGCAGGCTGCCATCCTTATTAAGACGCTCTGCAGACACGCGGTGCCAGTGGCCCAGGGCGAGCGGCTCGGGGCTCCGCAGAACGGCCAGCCCTGAGGAGACCACCAGGCAGGGGGTTGGCATGCAGATGCCCCCCTTGCCCTGCCCCACCCTGTTCAGGGGCTTGAGCAGCTAGGGAACTTCCTTCAGCCTCCTGGTGTTCCAGGAAGACCCGAGAGAGGGCTAGGGTCTTGCCTGAAGTCACACACAGAAGGAACGTGAACGGACAGGGACTTCAGCTGGTCTGACTTTTGAATTTATTCCTCCAAGCCTCTTCTGGGCATGGATAGCCAAGGGGGGCACAGAACTTGGCGCCTAGAGCCCACCTGCCTTTGGTGTTCAGTGCTCACCTGACCCCAACTCGTAGCGGAACTCCAGGTGGCCGCCAATCATTGCCAGAGACACAAAGTCCTCCACAGGCCCACTCTTCCCTCCGCTGAACAGCAGGATTCCGTCGGGCGCCAAAGGCTTAAACTCAATGTCCAGGCGTAGCTCATGGTGTGTGTTGGTAAGGGCGGGCAGTGCCAGGTAGGAACCAGTGCCCGACATGAAGGGGGTGGTCACTGTCACACCTGCAGCAGCCACAGCTCAGCCGGTGCAGTGGGGATACCCGAGTCCCAGGAGGGGTCCAACCACACAGCCTTCCTCTGGGACCCCTGCCACCCCATTCTCCAGTCCCAGAGGGTCAGCATCAGCTGGCTGACAGCTCTAGCAGCACAGGGGCCCTGCCCTCTGGCACTGCAGACCAGGCTAGAAGAATGGCCAATATGATGGGGTCCCCTCTGGCGACCCTCAGGTAAGGGATCAGACCAGTCAGAGCTTGGCCAGGTGACTTTGAGGTCCTCTGGCTCTGCAATAATGTCCTCACCCACAGGGCCCATCAGGGTGCTCCTTCCCAGCTTCCCCCGGTCTTCCTGGGATCCTGGGAGTCTCAGGCTGGCTCCACTCACCTTCCTCACATCTCACTCCTGAGCGGCCCAGGTGACAGCGGCAGGTGTAGCCTCGGCCATCAGGCCGGTTCACACAGGTGGCATCAGGCCCACAGGCCTCTGGGGGCACACAGGCCAGGGAGGAGGACTTTGAGGTAACCCGGGAGAGGGTGAGACCCTACTTATTGTACCCCCGGGGCCTCAGCTTGTTAGGGCCGGCCAGCCTGGGAGGGCCGCATCAGGGCACCATGGGGGCGGATGGGTTAGAGCAAGGGTGGGGACAGAGGAGACCACATGTGTGCTGGGGGAGTAGCGTGGGGTGTGTGTGTGAATGGGTGATTTGTTTGTGGTGTTCTTGAAAGACCATGCCTGGGTCACAGTGTGGGGGTGCTGAGTACCCAGGTGGCAGGTGATGGGGTGAGTGCCTTGGTGAGAGATGGGAAGATGGTAGGTGCCTGGGATGCAGTGAGGGGACTGGGGGCGGTGAGGACTTGGGTAGCAGAGACGGAGGCAGAGTACTCGGATGGCATTGGATCAGAGGGACAGAGCGTGGTCAGTCAGCAGTGGGCCTGGGGGTGGATATGAAGGGGCAGTAATGGGCAGAGACAAGTACCTAGGGGTGGCGGGCTACACACCTGGGTGGCAGTGCAGGGCCTGCGAGTGCTCACAGCGGCTCCCGGTGAAGCCAGCCAGGCAGATGCACACATAGCTGCTGCTCTCTGAGTCCTGGCACTGGCCCCCGTTCTGCAAAGCAAACCCGAAAAGTCAGGCTAAGAACACCCTGGCCCTCTGATAGTCCTCGCAGGGGCCCGCCAGGGCTCAGGAAAGTGGCTGGGGCAGCCAGGTGGCATGCGTGGGGTGGGGTCACCTGGCAGGGCCGGTCCCGACAGGTGGGGCAGTGGGAGATGCCATGCACTGTCAGGTTGAGGTCATGGAAGATGATTTCCTCGCCCTGGATGCGCAGTTCCCGGACACAGCCTGGGGTACAGACAAGCAGGATGAGCAGATGTGGGGTGCTGGGATGCCTGCCCGGTCCAACCCAGCCCCCCTGCTGTGCCCTCCCAGGCTCCCACAGGCTCTGCCAGACAGCCAGGTGAGGCTTGGCCGGGGCTGGAGGTGAGGCGGGAGGCTCACCCACAAAGCCGTTGCTCAGCCCGGCCTTGGGGATGGCACCATAGTCAGGGTAGCCGCCCAGGTAGAGCTCCTCGTTCAGGTCCAGGCCCTGGAACTTGCCCTGGGGAGCCACGGAGTTGGGAAATTGGGAATGGCAGACAGAGTTGGAAGGGCAGGCAGGTGGGGAAGGCACCGGGAATAGAGGGAAGGTGTTGGGTCTCGCACCTGGGAGGTTCCATTGACAGGGGCCAGGCTGCCCACAATCAGGGAGCCCTGGGTGAGGCTGCGCAGCAGGGTCACGGTGTGGAACTGGCCCAGCGCCAGTGGTGTGGGGTGGCGGATGGTGGCCATGCCTGAGCCTGCGTCAAACCTGCTCCGTGGGGTGGGGCAGGGGAGAGCGGATATGGGGTCTGTAAGAAGTGCTGGCCAGGGTGTCCAGCCCGGGCAAAGGTGACATCACCATTTCCCAAAATCCTGTTCCAGTTCGTCTCTGCCCTGTGCCCCCACCCTGTCGCCTGTGCCCAGCTCACCTTATGTCTTCCCTCCGCACATCCTCCCCCTGCAGCTCCAGGAGCTTCAGAGCCCGGCAGCCTCACCCAGCCTCACTGTTTCTGAGCACTCCCACCCTAAGACTGCCCGGCCTCTTTCCTTCCTTGCTTCTGGCTGGCCTTCCCCAGCTAGAATACACACGTCCCCAAGGGCCAGAGGTCGAGCTGTCCCTGTTAGTGCCTGGCATGTAGTAGGTGTTCCGCAAATAACTGCTGACTGGAAGGATGAATCCCGGGAGTAGCCCCCACCCCAGGGGGACACCCTCAGCGTCACAGAGTATTTCTGCTGCAGTTTCGTGCAGGTCTGAGGCTGCTTCCTCCTCCACCTGGCTGGTGTACTGTGCCTCGTCCAACAGATCACGTGGTCCCCGAGGGTAACAGCTTCATCTCCTCCCTTCTCAAGAACCTCCTTTGTATCACTCAGCCCAGCAGGGTGTGGGTCTGACCGAAGCCCCAGTCCGGTTCCGGAGCCCCACTTCCTCGGTAAGTGGTGAGGGCGAGGGTCTCACCGGAATTCAGGCCTTCCACCCACGAGGCCGAAGGAGATGAAGTCAGGCTGCCTGTTGGCCAGGCTGGTGGGGCTCCCTGGCATCTGCTTCTGCCCATTGTACAGCAGCATCCCTAGGTAGGCACAGCTGTGTAAGGGCCTCGCCCCTGCCACGGGCTCCCTGTCTGCCCCAGCCCCCCGAATACATGACCCAAGCTCATAAGCCTGTCCATGTTCTACCTCCTACCCCTCCTGCTGGCACGTGCTGCACAGCCAGGGCCTTCTCACCACCCCAGACGGCACCCTAAGTGGGAGGGCCTTGCTGAGAGGCCCTAGAAAGGGGCTGAGCTTGCTTCCCTCACAAGGCAGGGGCTACCTGAGGGAGGAGAGGGCAGCAGAGACTCACCCGAGTAGAGGAGGAGGCCTGGACAGTGAAAGGCAGAGATCCATAAGAAGTGGGAGGAGACAGGTGAGAGGGTGAGAGAGAGAGAGAGAGAGAGAGAGAGAGAGAGAGAGAGAGAGAGAGAGAGGAGGACAAAGTGAGAGACGGGAGAGAAAGGAGGGAGGAAGGAGCAGAGCAGGAAAAGGAAAGCAGGGCAGGAGGACCGGGCCCCAATGCACAATGGCGGAGGGACAGGGAGGCTGGAGATAACAAGTAACAGAGGCAGGGATGGAAGAGAGAGGAGACATCAGGGAGGCCCCAGAGCGGGAGGCCAGCAGGCCTGGGGGCTCCTGGGACAGGGAGGGCTGAGCAAGGTGGGTAGGGCTGGGGACTGCCAGGGCTCGTGCCCAGATGGCACCGTCTCCAGGATATCCCTGCTCTGGGCCCCCCAAGTCAGCTCCTCTCCTGCTCACCGTCGGCTGAGTCAGGCCGGAAGGTGATCTTGATCTCAAACTTCCTGTAGGCATCCTTGATGGTAGGCAGGGGCAGGAAGGAGTGGGGGGTCTGCGTGAAGTAGGGCACTACCCGCTCTGCCGGCAGAGAGCACAGTTAGAGACGATGCCCACCGGGCAGCAGACAGGGTGCTGCCAGTTCTAGGGGGTGTTGTCTTACCTGGCACCTGCAGGTGGGCAAAGGCTTTGACTTTGCCCTGCCGATTAGTGGCAGTGCAGACGTAGGTGCCTGCGTCCTGGGGTCGGACCGAGGGCAGCAGCAGCTTGTGGCTCTCCAGGCGGCTGTCGGGTGGCAGGTTCCCATCCAGCTGCAAACACACCCCCACTCTGGACTCTGGCCTTGACCTGCACCTCCACAGGACCTGTCCCCCATCTCTGCCTCTGGCCTGCCCTCAAACACTGTGCATGTGCTCTGGGCCAGGCCTGGTCCTGGGGGCACCAAGATGGTGAACACCTGGTCGCTGCTGCTCAGGTATGCCCGCTGGCTCCCTGCCCAGCATTTACCTTGCTCCACGTGATGTCAGGAGTGGGGTAGCCAGAGGCCATACAGGGGAAGACAGCTTCAGAACCAGCGGGCACTCGGACCTCTGGGGGCGTTGAGATCTGAGGTAGGGCTAAGAGGGTGAAGGAGACACAGGCCATCAACCTGACGACAGCCACCACTGTGAGCCCAGCCCCTGCCCTGACTCATTTAATCCTCACACTGTCCCTGGAAAGGAGGCATTATGTCCCCATTTCACAGATGAGGAAGCTGAGGCTCAGAGGGAGAAGTGGCTGCTTGCTGCTGGTTGCACTGAGGAAGCCAGGCAATCGAGGCTCAGGGATGGGTCCATTTGACTCCATAGCCTGCAACTCTTCAACATGCCTGGGTGCAAAATTGTGCAGCCCTTTGGGGACCTGAGGAGGGGCTACCAGGGCAGTGTGGCTCAGTAAGTTTGGAGGCAAGTCATAGAGTTTGGACTGAAAAGGAAGTGCCTTTGAGGAAAACACAGACTTGTGTCTGCCCTGCATCTGCTGCCCTTGTTCTACTTTTTCATGTCTGTTGTCTCTGCTATCAGATTGGGCTGTAGGTCTCCCTCCTCAGGCAGGCGCTCCTTTAGGGGAGGGCTATGTGTACCCATTTCCCACTTGAGGCCCCGAGGTGGAGCTTTTCCCTGTAAGTTCCAGCCTGCCCCAGAGGAACACTCACTTTTATCCCCTACTACCCCTACTTGGTATGAAATCTGCCCCTTAAGTACAACAAATGGAAAACTCCCAAGAGGGCAGAAAGGAAGGGTAAGTCAGGAGGGGCAGCAGGGGCCCCCGCCTGCTCCCTGTGCACGCAGAGGTTCACCTTGTACGAGCAGCAACACATGTGACTGGGTGGTGCCGGCAGGATTGGTGGCCGTGCAGCGGTACTGCCCGGCATCAGCCAGCTCCACGTGGGCGATCCTGACAATGCCTCCGCTCTGCACGATGCCAGGACGCAGGCGCCCTCCCACTTTGCTCCAAGTCACCTGAGGCTTGGGGTCACCCAGGGCCACGCACTCGAACTCCACAGCATGGCCGACCACCACGGTCTGCACGGAGGTCCGGATGTTGATGAGCACGGAGGGCAGGGCTGGGAGCGGGGAGGCAGAGGCAGAGTGAGGCCAGCCTGCAGCAGGCCTGGCCTGAGGGAGGCCGCAGACAGCGGTGGCAAAGGGGAGCATGGGAGCCCTGCGCATTCGGCCATTTTGTTTGCTTCTCATGCATTCACTCACTAACATGTCCACTGGTTTGCTCTTTTGTTTATTGGTTCACTCACCTGCCTGTCATTCTTCACTGCTGCCTGAGCACTGCTCACCCCATCCATTTCCCTTCTTCCTCCCCCCAAGGCTTGTCAAGCCCCCTTACTGTATGCTACATACAAGCAAGATACTAGCAAGCAATTCTCTTTACTCATACACATTTGAGGGACTTCTTGGAGATCATGCTCCCTGGGCCCCTCAACTCTGTCCCCTGCTCTTAGTCACCCTCCTACCTTGGACAACCAGCTGGGCACTGGCCTGGGCCTGTCCCCACGGTCCATGGGCCTGACAAACATATGTCCCTTGGCAGCTTTGGTCTAAGTTCTGGATTCTGTAAAGAAAAAGATAAGACATCAGTGAATAAAAACAATTCATTAAAATGCTTTGTAATTGTGTGGGTGTTAAATGCCGTCAGAGATCAGCACATGGTATAAACTTCTGGTTTCCCAATAACCACGAAAGGTAGGTAGGTAGGCAGGGTGGGTGTCATCACACCCCTTCTAGACTAAGACCTCATGGTCCAGAGCTCCAGATCACTCGGATCTGCATCATGTGTATATATCTCTTTCCTCCAACAATAGTACGAATATGGGCCACTGTGCGCTGAAGGCCTGTCATGTGAGCAGCACCGTGTTAAACACTTTAGATAATCTCATTTCAGCCACTGCAGCGCTGAGAACACTGAGGCTCAGGGAAGTGGAGTGACTTACCCAGGCACATTGTTTCATGCTGAGCCCCATAGAGCATGTGCTCTAACAGCCCCACTGTGTGCCCTGGGCGGAGGAGCCCAAGGTCAGGCCTGCCGCCACCCCCACTCACCGGAGCACACCATCCTGCACGCTGTGGCCGGGAGGCAGCTCACCCCCTTCCTTGACCCAGCGGAACTGGGTGCCCCGGTCGCTGGGCACGGCACAGTGGAACTCAACGCTGGCCCCTATGCTCTTGGTCTCTAGCTGAGGCGTGACCTGAACAGTGGGTGTGGATCCTGCTGGGACGGTGTCGGGGACAGAGCTGGAGGGTCCTGCAGGCACATGCACGAGGTTCTGTGTGTGTTTGTGTGTGTGTGTGTATGTCACTGACACCTCCCAGGCCCCAGGAAACCCCCACCCTGACATTCAGGGGGTGTTCTCCTGGTAGCTTCTCTGACCAGGAAAAAACCCCTTTCACTGGCACGCAGATTCATTCATACGCTCTCTCACGCCATCATTCAATCAACACGTACAAGGGCCTGCGGAGCCCTGGGCTCTGTGCCTTTTGACCTTTGAGAGGAGAGGGCAGCCTAAGGCAAGAGTGGGAAAGGCATCGTGGAAAGATTTAAACATTTTAAGGAAGGCAGGCAAAGACTATTCTGGCTCTAGTCTGACCTAAGGGGATTCGTGGTTTTGGTGGAGATACCAACCTGTCCTCATGAACAATGTGGAAGGGAGGGTGGGTGTAGAGGCAGATTACCACCATTTCCTAAGTGCCTACTACGTACCATGGGCTTATATACTGCATCTTTCCAAGTCAGCCTATGTGCCAGCATTGTTCTCCCCCCTTTACAGATGAAGAAACTGAGGTTTGAGGTTAACTGACGTGGCCGAGGTCACACAACTATCAGGTGATGGAACTGCATTGAACCCAGGCTCACTGTAGCCCAGGCTCTCGACCACAGGGCTCAGTGCCTTTTGGCTTTAGCAGCTGGGGCCCAGCAGCACTGGCTTTGTGTCCCTGATAGAGGAGACCATGGATGTGTTGCATATTTTGGAGCTCCACGGAGACCGTGGGCACACCAGGGGTGGGTGCTGCCCTGTCACAGTCACTGTCGTCACCGTCCAGCATTTACCCAGCCTGATCTGGGTCCTGTGGTGGACAGGCCTGGGGCTGCTGAGCTGACTGGCTCCAGGCCCTGCGCTGAATGTCCTCAGTCTGGCAGGCGAGGCCGGCTGGGGTACTTGTGTGAACATAACAGCCTCTGGCAGTGCAAGGTCATTGCCAAGGGAGGGATGCAGCAATGAGAGCTAGAGCTGCTGAGGGATGGGGGTCTTCCTGGAGGAGGCCGGCTGGCCTTGGGCCTCGGAGAAGAGGGGAAAGGAAGGCATTCCAGGTGGGGTAATAGAGAGAGGCCTCCGTGCCCCAAGTATGAGGTTTCTGGCTGCGAGTTCCTGGGTTAACGAAGAGCCCAGACAAGGGCCTAAAGGAAATCTGCCCTCCTTCTGCCCAGCCTGAGACAGGCCCGCTTACCTTGGACATGCACCTGGGCAAAGGCCTCCGCTGAGCCCACCTTGTTGGTGACCCTGCAGCGGTAGCGGCCTGAGTCCTCAGGGGCTGCGGGCTCAAAGCGCAGTATCTCATTCCTGGTGGTGACCCTCCCGGGGAGGCTGCCACCCATGCGGCTCCACTGGTAGGTGAGCGGGGGTGTCCCATGTGCCAGGCACTGGAGCTGCACGGTCTCCCCTGCCTGCACTGCCGCGTGCTCCGGGACTGTGGTGGCATACGGTGGGCCTGGGGTCAGGGGACACAGAGGTCAGGGTGGGGAAGAGTAGAGGCCAGGACGGGAGCAGGAGTCGGGTCCAGACAACTTGCCACAGGCCCGGGAAGCTGAATGGTGAGCCCAGAGGATGGGGGGAGAGGGAAGCAAAGTTCTTGGGAGGGGATGTGGGGCTCAGGCTGGTGTAGGCTCTAGGGGCCTGAGGTACTGGCCCTCTGGATGAGGTCCTGGGGTTCTGTCCAGTGTGCAGCCTGGTGGGGGGCTCAGACCTCCATGCGGTGCAGAGAGGGTAGCCCAAGGAAAATAGNCCATTCTACCTGCTCAGACCCAACCTATGGGCTGGCACTGGTCCCTGTGGGCCTGGCAGCTGCGAGGGTAGGGCACATTTTGCCACCCTACACTAAATGAGGATAATAGCTAACATTTGCCACACAGTGGGCTTCACATCCAGTAACAAACATCATTTTATGTAACAAGATCCTTATAAATAACCTTATGACTTAAATATAATATTAGCTATAGCTAACATTTTATGCTCACTATAGACCAGACATCGTTGTAAACATTTAAAATATATTAAATAATTTTACTCATGAAAAACTTTATCCAAAGCCTTAAAGGAGGATATTACTTTTCTCCATTTTATATAGGAGGAACCTGAGGCACAGAGAGGTTAAGTGACTCACCAAAAGTCACACAACTGTTAAGTTGCAGGGCTAGGATTTGAACCCAGGCAGCACATGTTCTTGCCTACTATATTCCATTACCTCTCCTTTTTATTACTGATATACAAGAAGATACATATCTATAAAGCAGTTAGCACTGTGCCTGTAAATGTTCAATAAACATTAATTTTGAAAATTATTATCATTGTTTTTAAATAGACGGTGGAATCCGTGAGAATGAGGGTTCTGCCTTACTCTTCTTGTATTTACTGCTCCTATGGCAAGGATGGGCACCCAGTGGATGTTTGTTGATGAATGCATGAATATAGGGGAGGAAGCTGAGGTCAGAGGGGATCAAGGGCCTGCCCAAGGTCAGCCTGCCAGCAGGTATAGGACAGGACCCAGCTGTGTGGCTGTGCTCTTCTTCATTCCGTCTCTCTCTGTCCAGTGAGCCTCTCCCATGGGCTTCTTTGGTTTAGAGGCTCCAGCAGAGGGGGCAGGGTAGCTGGAAGAGGAGGCCAAGAGACCTGGGGCAAGAGGAGGCTGTCCTGCTCAGCTTCTCGGATTTGCCACAACAAATACGTACCGTTGCCCCCACTGCCTTCGAGATGCCAGTCGGACTCTGCTGTGCCCCGTCCAGAGCCTGTGGGGAAAGGCAGGTCGAGTTGTGGGCACAGATACCCATGGTATCATGGTCTAGCCCCAGGACCCCAGGGAGGTGGACAGAAGCCAGGGCAGTTACACTACCTTGCTGGCAGCGTGGGCCAGAGAAGCCAGGGGGACAGAGGCAGTGGGTACCCTGGCAGGTGCCCCCATGCAGACAGGGCTCCTGGAGCTGGCAGGGGTTTTCCGCATGCTCGCAGAGGTCTCCTGTGGGCCGGGGCCAGGGAGAGTGGTCGTGGGCTGCAGTTGCCACCAGCTGCCCTGGGCCCTTCCCTCCCCCCTCCCAGGGCCTGGGAAGCCTCACACACCTTTGAAGCCATCCTGACACAGGCACTGGACCTCATACTCGCCAGCAGGCATGCATGTGGCACCGTTCTGGCAGGGCTGGCGCTCACACGGGGAGCTGTCGTAGCATTGCCCAATGTCTCGGCTGCCCAGGAAGCTGTAGGTGAGGTCCAGCCGCTTTCCATTCACTGACACCTGTGGGCACAGGGACACCGAGGAACTCAGGAGTGCAAGAGACGGAGGCAGAGGAGTGCCAGCAGAGAGAAGAATGCAGTAGGGACCCCAGGTTGGAGCTTAAGCAGAAAGTGGGATTCTAGGGTGAGGAGGGGGGAACATAAGTTGAATGCCTGCTGTGTGCCAGGAACATCCATCAGTGCAGTCAGTCCTCAGCACAACCCTTCAAAGTTGGTGTAATTATCCCCATTTTACAGAGGAGGAAAGTGAAGCTCAGAGGTGAAGTGTGTGGTCCCCAGGGCCTTGGGCTAGCTGTGGGGGGAGAGACCCCATTTGTGGCCCTCTCCTCCCCACCCGTCCTCTGGAAGCTGCTCCTCACCTCACCCACGCAGCCGTGGAAGTGGGCGCTAATGTTGGTGGCTGGTGGCAGTGGCACTGCGGGCTCCACACCCCCGAGGTAGAGGAGGGTGTGCAGGTTGAGGCCCTGGCTCTTGCCCGGTGAGGAGCGTAGCACGGGGCGTCTGCCGTTCACCCGCAGGCTGCCATCCTTATTAAGACGCTCTGCAGACACGCGGTGCCAGTGGCCCAGGGCGAGCGGCTCGGGGCTCCGCAGAACGGCCAGCCCTGAGGAGACCACCAGGCAGGGGGTTGGCATGCAGATGCCCCCCTTGCCCTGCCCCACCCTGTTCAGGGGCTTGAGCAGCTAGGGAACTTCCTTCAGCCTCCTGGTGTTCCAGGAAGACCCGAGAGAGGGCTAGGGTCTTGCCTGAAGTCACACACAGAAGGAACGTGAACGGACAGGGACTTCAGCTGGTCTGACTTTTGAATTTATTCCTCCAAGCCTCTTCTGGGCATGGATAGCCAAGGGGGGCACAGAACTTGGCGCCTAGAGCCCACCTGCCTTTGGTGTTCAGTGCTCACCTGACCCCAACTCGTAGCGGAACTCCAGGTGGCCGCCAATCATTGCCAGAGACACAAAGTCCTCCACAGGCCCACTCTTCCCTCCGCTGAACAGCAGGATTCCGTCGGGCGCCAAAGGCTTAAACTCAATGTCCAGGCGTAGCTCATGGTGTGTGTTGGTAAGGGCGGGCAGTGCCAGGTAGGAACCAGTGCCCGACATGAAGGGGGTGGTCACTGTCACACCTGCAGCAGCCACAGCTCAGCCGGTGCAGTGGGGATACCCGAGTCCCAGGAGGGGTCCAACCACACAGCCTTCCTCTGGGACCCCTGCCACCCCATTCTCCAGTCCCAGAGGGTCAGCATCAGCTGGCTGACAGCTCTAGCAGCACAGGGGCCCTGCCCTCTGGCACTGCAGACCAGGCTAGAAGAATGGCCAATATGATGGGGTCCCCTCTGGCGACCCTCAGGTAAGGGATCAGACCAGTCAGAGCTTGGCCAGGTGACTTTGAGGTCCTCTGGCTCTGCAATAATGTCCTCACCCACAGGGCCCATCAGGGTGCTCCTTCCCAGCTTCCCCCGGTCTTCCTGGGATCCTGGGAGTCTCAGGCTGGCTCCACTCACCTTCCTCACATCTCACTCCTGAGCGGCCCAGGTGACAGCGGCAGGTGTAGCCTCGGCCATCAGGCCGGTTCACACAGGTGGCATCAGGCCCACAGGCCTCTGGGGGCACACAGGCCAGGGAGGAGGACTTTGAGGTAACCCGGGAGAGGGTGAGACCCTACTTATTGTACCCCCGGGGCCTCAGCTTGTTAGGGCCGGCCAGCCTGGGAGGGCCGCATCAGGGCACCATGGGGGCGGATGGGTTAGAGCAAGGGTGGGGACAGAGGAGACCACATGTGTGCTGGGGGAGTAGCGTGGGGTGTGTGTGTGAATGGGTGATTTGTTTGTGGTGTTCTTGAAAGACCATGCCTGGGTCACAGTGTGGGGGTGCTGAGTACCCAGGTGGCAGGTGATGGGGTGAGTGCCTTGGTGAGAGATGGGAAGATGGTAGGTGCCTGGGATGCAGTGAGGGGACTGGGGGCGGTGAGGACTTGGGTAGCAGAGACGGAGGCAGAGTACTCGGATGGCATTGGATCAGAGGGACAGAGCGTGGTCAGTCAGCAGTGGGCCTGGGGGTGGATATGAAGGGGCAGTAATGGGCAGAGACAAGTACCTAGGGGTGGCGGGCTACACACCTGGGTGGCAGTGCAGGGCCTGCGAGTGCTCACAGCGGCTCCCGGTGAAGCCAGCCAGGCAGATGCACACATAGCTGCTGCTCTCTGAGTCCTGGCACTGGCCCCCGTTCTGCAAAGCAAACCCGAAAAGTCAGGCTAAGAACACCCTGGCCCTCTGATAGTCCTCGCAGGGGCCCGCCAGGGCTCAGGAAAGTGGCTGGGGCAGCCAGGTGGCATGCGTGGGGTGGGGTCACCTGGCAGGGCCGGTCCCGACAGGTGGGGCAGTGGGAGATGCCATGCACTGTCAGGTTGAGGTCATGGAAGATGATTTCCTCGCCCTGGATGCGCAGTTCCCGGACACAGCCTGGGGTACAGACAAGCAGGATGAGCAGATGTGGGGTGCTGGGATGCCTGCCCGGTCCAACCCAGCCCCCCTGCTGTGCCCTCCCAGGCTCCCACAGGCTCTGCCAGACAGCCAGGTGAGGCTTGGCCGGGGCTGGAGGTGAGGCGGGAGGCTCACCCACAAAGCCGTTGCTCAGCCCGGCCTTGGGGATGGCACCATAGTCAGGGTAGCCGCCCAGGTAGAGCTCCTCGTTCAGGTCCAGGCCCTGGAACTTGCCCTGGGGAGCCACGGAGTTGGGAAATTGGGAATGGCAGACAGAGTTGGAAGGGCAGGCAGGTGGGGAAGGCACCGGGAATAGAGGGAAGGTGTTGGGTCTCGCACCTGGGAGGTTCCATTGACAGGGGCCAGGCTGCCCACAATCAGGGAGCCCTGGGTGAGGCTGCGCAGCAGGGTCACGGTGTGGAACTGGCCCAGCGCCAGTGGTGTGGGGTGGCGGATGGTGGCCATGCCTGAGCCTGCGTCAAACCTGCTCCGTGGGGTGGGGCAGGGGAGAGCGGATATGGGGTCTGTAAGAAGTGCTGGCCAGGGTGTCCAGCCCGGGCAAAGGTGACATCACCATTTCCCAAAATCCTGTTCCAGTTCGTCTCTGCCCTGTGCCCCCACCCTGTCGCCTGTGCCCAGCTCACCTTATGTCTTCCCTCCGCACATCCTCCCCCTGCAGCTCCAGGAGCTTCAGAGCCCGGCAGCCTCACCCAGCCTCACTGTTTCTGAGCACTCCCACCCTAAGACTGCCCGGCCTCTTTCCTTCCTTGCTTCTGGCTGGCCTTCCCCAGCTAGAATACACACGTCCCCAAGGGCCAGAGGTCGAGCTGTCCCTGTTAGTGCCTGGCATGTAGTAGGTGTTCCGCAAATAACTGCTGACTGGAAGGATGAATCCCGGGAGTAGCCCCCACCCCAGGGGGACACCCTCAGCGTCACAGAGTATTTCTGCTGCAGTTTCGTGCAGGTCTGAGGCTGCTTCCTCCTCCACCTGGCTGGTGTACTGTGCCTCGTCCAACAGATCACGTGGTCCCCGAGGGTAACAGCTTCATCTCCTCCCTTCTCAAGAACCTCCTTTGTATCACTCAGCCCAGCAGGGTGTGGGTCTGACCGAAGCCCCAGTCCGGTTCCGGAGCCCCACTTCCTCGGTAAGTGGTGAGGGCGAGGGTCTCACCGGAATTCAGGCCTTCCACCCACGAGGCCGAAGGAGATGAAGTCAGGCTGCCTGTTGGCCAGGCTGGTGGGGCTCCCTGGCATCTGCTTCTGCCCATTGTACAGCAGCATCCCTAGGTAGGCACAGCTGTGTAAGGGCCTCGCCCCTGCCACGGGCTCCCTGTCTGCCCCAGCCCCCCGAATACATGACCCAAGCTCATAAGCCTGTCCATGTTCTACCTCCTACCCCTCCTGCTGGCACGTGCTGCACAGCCAGGGCCTTCTCACCACCCCAGACGGCACCCTAAGTGGGAGGGCCTTGCTGAGAGGCCCTAGAAAGGGGCTGAGCTTGCTTCCCTCACAAGGCAGGGGCTACCTGAGGGAGGAGAGGGCAGCAGAGACTCACCCGAGTAGAGGAGGAGGCCTGGACAGTGAAAGGCAGAGATCCATAAGAAGTGGGAGGAGACAGGTGAGAGGGTGAGAGAGAGAGAGAGAGAGAGAGAGAGAGAGAGAGAGAGAGAGAGAGAGAGGAGGACAAAGTGAGAGACGGGAGAGAAAGGAGGGAGGAAGGAGCAGAGCAGGAAAAGGAAAGCAGGGCAGGAGGACCGGGCCCCAATGCACAATGGCGGAGGGACAGGGAGGCTGGAGATAACAAGTAACAGAGGCAGGGATGGAAGAGAGAGGAGACATCAGGGAGGCCCCAGAGCGGGAGGCCAGTAGGCCTGGGGGCTCCTGGGACAGGGAGGGCTGAGCAAGGTGGGTAGGGCTGGGGACTGCCAGGGCTCGTGCCCAGATGGCACCGTCTCCAGGATATCCCTGCTCTGGGCCCCCCAAGTCAGCTCCTCTCCTGCTCACCGTCGGCTGAGTCAGGCCGGAAGGTGATCTTGATCTCAAACTTCCTGTAGGCATCCTTGATGGTAGGCAGGGGCAGGAAGGAGTGGGGGGTCTGCGTGAAGTAGGGCACTACCCGCTCTGCCGGCAGAGAGCACAGTTAGAGACGATGCCCACCGGGCAGCAGACAGGGTGCTGCCAGTTCTAGGGGGTGTTGTCTTACCTGGCACCTGCAGGTGGGCAAAGGCTTTGACTTTGCCCTGCCGATTAGTGGCAGTGCAGACGTAGGTGCCTGCGTCCTGGGGTCGGACCGAGGGCAGCAGCAGCTTGTGGCTCTCCAGGCGGCTGTCGGGTGGCAGGTTCCCATCCAGCTGCAAACACACCCCCACTCTGGACTCTGGCCTTGACCTGCACCTCCACAGGACCTGTCCCCCATCTCTGCCTCTGGCCTGCCCTCAAACACTGTGCATGTGCTCTGGGCCAGGCCTGGTCCTGGGGGCACCAAGATGGTGAACACCTGGTCGCTGCTGCTCAGGTATGCCCGCTGGCTCCCTGCCCAGCATTTACCTTGCTCCACGTGATGTCAGGAGTGGGGTAGCCAGAGGCCATACAGGGGAAGACAGCTTCAGAACCAGCGGGCACTCGGACCTCTGGGGGCGTTGAGATCTGAGGTAGGGCTAAGAGGGTGAAGGAGACACAGGCCATCAACCTGACGACAGCCACCACTGTGAGCCCAGCCCCTGCCCTGACTCATTTAATCCTCACACTGTCCCTGGAAAGGAGGCATTATGTCCCCATTTCACAGATGAGGAAGCTGAGGCTCAGAGGGAGAAGTGGCTGCTTGCTGCTGGTTGCACTGAGGAAGCCAGGCAATCGAGGCTCAGGGATGGGTCCATTTGACTCCATAGCCTGCAACTCTTCAACATGCCTGGGTGCAAAATTGTGCAGCCCTTTGGGGACCTGAGGAGGGGCTACCAGGGCAGTGTGGCTCAGTAAGTTTGGAGGCAAGTCATAGAGTTTGGACTGAAAAGGAAGTGCCTTTGAGGAAAACACAGACTTGTGTCTGCCCTGCATCTGCTGCCCTTGTTCTACTTTTTCATGTCTGTTGTCTCTGCTATCAGATTGGGCTGTAGGTCTCCCTCCTCAGGCAGGCGCTCCTTTAGGGGAGGGCTATGTGTACCCATTTCCCACTTGAGGCCCCGAGGTGGAGCTTTTCCCTGTAAGTTCCAGCCTGCCCCAGAGGAACACTCACTTTTATCCCCTACTACCCCTACTTGGTATGAAATCTGCCCCTTAAGTACAACAAATGGAAAACTCCCAAGAGGGCAGAAAGGAAGGGTAAGTCAGGAGGGGCAGCAGGGGCCCCCGCCTGCTCCCTGTGCACGCAGAGGTTCACCTTGTACGAGCAGCAACACATGTGACTGGGTGGTGCCGGCAGGATTGGTGGCCGTGCAGCGGTACTGCCCGGCATCAGCCAGCTCCACGTGGGCGATCCTGACAATGCCTCCGCTCTGCACGATGCCAGGACGCAGGCGCCCTCCCACTTTGCTCCAAGTCACCTGAGGCTTGGGGTCACCCAGGGCCACGCACTCGAACTCCACAGCATGGCCGACCACCACGGTCTGCACGGAGGTCCGGATGTTGATGAGCACGGAGGGCAGGGCTGGGAGCGGGGAGGCAGAGGCAGAGTGAGGCCAGCCTGCAGCAGGCCTGGCCTGAGGGAGGCCGCAGACAGCGGTGGCAAAGGGGAGCATGGGAGCCCTGCGCATTCGGCCATTTTGTTTGCTTCTCATGCATTCACTCACTAACATGTCCACTGGTTTGCTCTTTTGTTTATTGGTTCACTCACCTGCCTGTCATTCTTCACTGCTGCCTGAGCACTGCTCACCCCATCCATTTCCCTTCTTCCTCCCCCCAAGGCTTGTCAAGCCCCCTTACTGTATGCTACATACAAGCAAGATACTAGCAAGCAATTCTCTTTACTCATACACATTTGAGGGACTTCTTGGAGATCATGCTCCCTGGGCCCCTCAACTCTGTCCCCTGCTCTTAGTCACCCTCCTACCTTGGACAACCAGCTGGGCACTGGCCTGGGCCTGTCCCCACGGTCCATGGGCCTGACAAACATATGTCCCTTGGCAGCTTTGGTCTAAGTTCTGGATTCTGTAAAGAAAAAGATAAGACATCAGTGAATAAAAACAATTCATTAAAATGCTTTGTAATTGTGTGGGTGTTAAATGCCGTCAGAGATCAGCACATGGTATAAACTTCTGGTTTCCCAATAACCACGAAAGGTAGGTAGGTAGGCAGGGTGGGTGTCATCACACCCCTTCTAGACTAAGACCTCATGGTCCAGAGCTCCAGATCACTCGGATCTGCATCATGTGTATATATCTCTTTCCTCCAACAATAGTACGAATATGGGCCACTGTGCGCTGAAGGCCTGTCATGTGAGCAGCACCGTGTTAAACACTTTAGATAATCTCATTTCAGCCACTGCAGCGCTGAGAACACTGAGGCTCAGGGAAGTGGAGTGACTTACCCAGGCACATTGTTTCATGCTGAGCCCCATAGAGCATGTGCTCTAACAGCCCCACTGTGTGCCCTGGGCGGAGGAGCCCAAGGTCAGGCCTGCCGCCACCCCCACTCACCGGAGCACACCATCCTGCACGCTGTGGCCGGGAGGCAGCTCACCCCCTTCCTTGACCCAGCGGAACTGGGTGCCCCGGTCGCTGGGCACGGCACAGTGGAACTCAACGCTGGCCCCTATGCTCTTGGTCTCTAGCTGAGGCGTGACCTGAACAGTGGGTGTGGATCCTGCTGGGACGGTGTCGGGGACAGAGCTGGAGGGTCCTGCAGGCACATGCACGAGGTTCTGTGTGTGTTTGTGTGTGTGTGTGTATGTCACTGACACCTCCCAGGCCCCAGGAAACCCCCACCCTGACATTCAGGGGGTGTTCTCCTGGTAGCTTCTCTGACCAGGAAAAAACCCCTTTCACTGGCACGCAGATTCATTCATACGCTCTCTCACGCCATCATTCAATCAACACGTACAAGGGCCTGCGGAGCCCTGGGCTCTGTGCCTTTTGACCTTTGAGAGGAGAGGGCAGCCTAAGGCAAGAGTGGGAAAGGCATCGTGGAAAGATTTAAACATTTTAAGGAAGGCAGGCAAAGACTATTCTGGCTCTAGTCTGACCTAAGGGGATTCGTGGTTTTGGTGGAGATACCAACCTGTCCTCATGAACAATGTGGAAGGGAGGGTGGGTGTAGAGGCAGATTACCACCATTTCCTAAGTGCCTACTACGTACCATGGGCTTATATACTGCATCTTTCCAAGTCAGCCTATGTGCCAGCATTGTTCTCCCCCCTTTACAGATGAAGAAACTGAGGTTTGAGGTTAACTGACGTGGCCGAGGTCACACAACTATCAGGTGATGGAACTGCATTGAACCCAGGCTCACTGTAGCCCAGGCTCTCGACCACAGGGCTCAGTGCCTTTTGGCTTTAGCAGCTGGGGCCCAGCAGCACTGGCTTTGTGTCCCTGATAGAGGAGACCATGGATGTGTTGCATATTTTGGAGCTCCACGGAGACCGTGGGCACACCAGGGGTGGGTGCTGCCCTGTCACAGTCACTGTCGTCACCGTCCAGCATTTACCCAGCCTGATCTGGGTCCTGTGGTGGACAGGCCTGGGGCTGCTGAGCTGACTGGCTCCAGGCCCTGCGCTGAATGTCCTCAGTCTGGCAGGCGAGGCCGGCTGGGGTACTTGTGTGAACATAACAGCCTCTGGCAGTGCAAGGTCATTGCCAAGGGAGGGATGCAGCAATGAGAGCTAGAGCTGCTGAGGGATGGGGGTCTTCCTGGAGGAGGCCGGCTGGCCTTGGGCCTCGGAGAAGAGGGGAAAGGAAGGCATTCCAGGTGGGGTAATAGAGAGAGGCCTCCGTGCCCCAAGTATGAGGTTTCTGGCTGCGAGTTCCTGGGTTAACGAAGAGCCCAGACAAGGGCCTAAAGGAAATCTGCCCTCCTTCTGCCCAGCCTGAGACAGGCCCGCTTACCTTGGACATGCACCTGGGCAAAGGCCTCCGCTGAGCCCACCTTGTTGGTGACCCTGCAGCGGTAGCGGCCTGAGTCCTCAGGGGCTGCGGGCTCAAAGCGCAGTATCTCATTCCTGGTGGTGACCCTCCCGGGGAGGCTGCCACCCATGCGGCTCCACTGGTAGGTGAGCGGGGGTGTCCCATGTGCCAGGCACTGGAGCTGCACGGTCTCCCCTGCCTGCACTGCCGCGTGCTCCGGGACTGTGGTGGCATACGGTGGGCCTGGGGTCAGGGGACACAGAGGTCAGGGTGGGGAAGAGTAGAGGCCAGGACGGGAGCAGGAGTCGGGTCCAGACAACTTGCCACAGGCCCGGGAAGCTGAATGGTGAGCCCAGAGGATGGGGGGAGAGGGAAGCAAAGTTCTTGGGAGGGGATGTGGGGCTCAGGCTGGTGTAGGCTCTAGGGGCCTGAGGTACTGGCCCTCTGGATGAGGTCCTGGGGTTCTGTCCAGTGTGCAGCCTGGTGGGGGGCTCAGACCTCCATGCGGTGCAGAGAGGGTAGCCCAAGGAAAATAGATGAGCTCCTTACTCTCTACGTGCAGGGCGATGGTGGCCTCGGCATGCCCGACAGGGCTAGTGGCGTTGCAGATGTACTGGCCTGAGTCCTGCTGGGCTACCCGGGGGATGATCAGCGTGTCACCTTCCAGCCGGTGCTGCCAGGGCAGCGGGGAGCGCAGCTTGGACCAGTGGATGACGGGGGTGGGGCTGCCTGTGAAGCGAAGTGGAAGAGAGTAGAGGTCACTGGGCTGCCCCCAGAGGGTGGGGCTGGTGAGGAAGGGGCCTGGGTGATCTTGCCCCATCATGGGGCTCATGAAGTGGGCACCTCAGCCATCACTGGGAGATGCCATCAGCAAGACCCCCGCCCCAGGTATGACATCACCTTTAGACCTCTTGTGTCTACAATTTATGGCCCAGGGCAGCACTGTTCTCCCTGCCCTGAGTACCAGCCCCGTCCACACCTGTAGCTGAGCAGTGCAGGGTGGCCGTGTGTCCAGCTTCCACAGTCAGCTCGACTTCTCCAACCTGGACTTGGGGGAACCCTGGGGCTACGATGCCTGTGTCCACAATCACCTCCACCCGCTTCTGTGCTGTGCCCAGAGCATTCTGAGCCAGGCATACATAGGTGCCTGCATCTGATGGTTTAGCTGATGAAATCTGGAAGAGAGAAAGGAGGTTGGTTATGTGGCACTGACGGGGTACCTTGGCATTAGGTCCTAGTTCTGGTTTGGTTTTACATCTCTCCTCTACCCTTACTTTGTTTTTAGCTCCCTGTTTGAATAGCTTCTTGAGGGCTCATACTCAAGACATCTCATTAATCTACCCATCCACTAGTCCATCAACTCACCCACCCATTTGTTCACTTACCCACCCACCCCTACCTACCAACCTACACATCCATCCATTTATCACCCACCCATCCATCCACCTATGTACCCACCCATCCAACCATCCATCTACCCACCCACCTACCCACCCATCCATCCATCCATCCATCCATCCATCCACCCATCCATCCATCCACCCACCCATCCATCTATACATCCATCCATCCATCCATCCACCCATCCACCCACCCACCCACCAT